CTCAAGTAAGAAGTAAGTTTCTCAAGACAATATTATCAGTTTGGGATTACTCAATATCTTTGCTGATTCCTCAAAGTGTCCCTAAATGACTAAAAGGCTGAGCCTGACTTTTGATGACTTCCATGCACTATGAAGAAAAAGATCGATGTTCAAGTCCCACAAGTGAGGTACTATCTGGCAACCCAGAAGCAAATAGGTAAACTATAAAGAGAAAAACCATTATAGGAACAGAAGATAACTGAATCATCTCAATTGCTAAATTTGGATTATGGTAACCTCATACTGGCTGTGCTACCAGGTGCCTAAAAAAACAAACAAAACTCATCTCTATGGGAAGGTACGCTTTAAATTATTTATCCAGACAGTTCTGCAAACACAAGGTCTAGCATGTTAAAACAACCAAAGAGACACATGAGACAACTCAACATGAATAAAGCCAGCAAAAACACTAACAATAGAAACACATCCAAATAGAATATAAAGTTGGAGTTATCTTGCATAAAATTTATAACAGCTATATTTACTATGTTCAGTGATATAAAAAAGAAAAGATTAAGAATCTCATTAGCTACTTCAAAATATATATAAGAATGAAATGGGAATTCTGAAACTATAAAACACAAAAATGCAATAACCAAAATAAGAACTCAACAAATGGGTTAACACCAGCTAAGACAAAGCTGACAAAACACTTAGGAAACTGGAGCATGGATTAGAAGAAAATTTACAGAATAAAAAAAGAAGTGACAAAAGAGTAGAAATACAGAACATAGTATGTATTACATAGATGATACAATGGAAAGAGCTTACTGAATTCAAGAACAAGAGAAGAAGGTGAGAATAGGAAAGAAACAATAGCTGAAAAGATTATAGCTGAGAACTTTCTAATACTAATGAAAGACTTCACAGATATGAGGAAAGTTATAGGATGAAAAGAGAAACTAGGTGTATTGCAGTAAAGCTTCTTTTGATAGCTAATGATCATGAAAGGAAATAAAAGAAGTATAATCTGATATTCTTTAGGCAGATGGATAATAACTATAGGTGGAAGCTGAGAGACCCAAGGAAAACCACGAAAAGTAAAAAGACATGAGTAAATCTAGGAGCACCTGGGTGGCTCAATCAGTTAAGTGTCTGGCATTGGTTCAGGTCATGATTTCACAGTTCGAGGGTTCAAGCCCCACATGGGGCTCTGTGCTAACAGCTCAGAACCTGGAGCCTGTTTCAGATTCTGTGTCTCCCTCTCTCTCTCTCTGCTCCTCCCCATCTTGTGCTCTGCCTGTCTCTCTCTCAAAAGTAAATAAATATTTTTTAAAAATTTAAAAACAATAAAGACATGAGTCCATCTAAAGTAATAGTGATGGTTTAAGGCAAAGGCAATTATGCATATATAACATATATAATAATTATATGTAAAGTTTATATGTGTGTGTACATATATATATATATAATTAAAATATAATAATAGCATACAAGTTAGGACAGAGAAATATGGTAAAGGCATTCCAAAATTCCAAAGTCCTTACATTGTCCTTTCAGATGATAAAAGTGTCAATTAATATTAGATTTTCATAAGTCAATAATTCACACTGTAATATCTAGAAAAGCCAATAATAAAATATTGAATGTGTATAATTTCAAGCTAATAAAAGGAAAAATTGGATATTTCTTTAGGAAGTTAAATAATCCAAAAACAAACCCGGTGAATGTGGAAAAACTAGAAAATACTTAAGATAACAGAGCTAAACTCAACTATGCTGGTACATATGCTAAATATAAATATCCTAAGGTTCCAATTAAGAGATAAAGAATCTCAGACTGAAATAAAAATAACTGTATAGATAAATAAGACACATATCTAAAATATACAAGTATAAAAAGTGTGATTGTTCTATAGGTTACTAAAAGAGCTTTGTTAGAGTCACTCATATAATTATGAATTTGTCTATTTCATCTTGTAATTCTATTGATTTTTGCTTTATACACTTTCACATTGTATTAGATTCAGACAAATTAGGAATTTTTAATCTTTATGGAACAGTACTTATATCTCTAGTAATGCTTTTGCCTTTAAATCTACTTCATTAGACTTCACTCTTACAGATATATCTTTTGTAAAATTATAGAAAAAGGAGTGATTACTTAAACATTCAAAGAGTAGGGGTTTATAATGTAAATCCAAGTTCAAAGCCTTTGTTGTACTCCTTTGGTTAAGCTTCACAAATACATTGTATAACTTCGGTATCTGTGCCAGTTCAAATAGAAAATTAAAGATGTCCTTCTCCAGCTTTCTCCTGCCAGGGTTTTCTACCATACTTCTCAGTTCTCAGGAGCCCTTTTGCCCTCTGGCCAAAAAGATTGGATTCTATCAGAGTTTTAACCTCCTCCCTCTTGTGCAGTTCCAAGTAGATGTTGTACAGTGGCAAGGGAAGAAGAAAACAATCATGGAGATTCCCCCCCATGTTCTCCTATGACGGGACCCCTTTTCCCACTTTCTCTATCTAAGATCTCCTTTCAGGATTTTAAATGCTTGTGCTACAGTACATTTGGAGCTGGTTTTGGGGAAAATCAAGGAGAATAAAAAGAAAATAAAAATGGGAATTACATAGAAGGATGTCTCGCAAATGGAATGTATCAAAAGTCATCAAGGTGTGAATCAATTTTACAGTGTCTATTCAATGTTGGCAATTTATATTCAGGAGTAAATGGAACCACTTTAAATTTCTGGTGGCTCTCACAAGTGCATGGGTTCCCATTTTGTCTCCATGAAGAGTCATCTTCTACTATATTCTTGGAGAGCATGGGCCAATGATAATGAATAAATGATAATGAGGAAAAATCAAAAGATGAGATCTTCAATAAGAACAGAATATCAACACTAATTATATATGTATATTCTAGGTAAATGTGTAAATAATATGATACTGAGATGCATTAAAAGGCCTGTAGAGTTCCTATTTATTTCTGACATTATTCTTGGTAGTTTAGAGGTATAGCCTAGCAATGTGTTTCAGAAGATGGTTATGAGAAATAAGAAAAACTCACCAAAAAATGGAATAATTTTTGCTTCTGTTTATCAAGAAAATTATCTACATGAGTCAAAGGATCTTCAATTGAAATTCATTCAAGATATACCCATCACTTCCAATAGATTGGAAATTTGTCCATTATAAATATAGGTTCATGAGAGTAATAGAGTTACATTTTCATTTTATAGCTCTATCATTATGGGGTGAGTTGTCTTTAAAGAGGACTTTATTATTTCTATCACCTTCTTAATTGGAATCAAGGTATTATAAGTTTTCAGGAGACCTCAGTGGTCTTTTAAATATTTGAGAGCTGAGCATAGATTCCTTTGATTATCAAAAACTTCATCTGGGAGCCCTGGATCCAATTTGTCTATTACTATCAGTAGATAATGTGATTCTGAGCTATTACACCCTGAAGAAGAATATAATGAAAATCTAATACTTTCAGTTTGTATATCCCTGTCCGTGTGTTTTGGAATTACACGATTCTAGGAAAATGTGAAAGTTATGATAGGCAAAAGACCTCCTTGATAAATTTACAATTGTAACAAGACTGTGATACTGAAATCTGACAGCAAGATACAGTTCTTTAAGCCAAGTTGATAGGTTACAAATATGTATCGATTACATTATAATCTATCACCACATTGCTAAACTGTTATCAGGAGGGGAAATACTTAAAAATACTTTAAAAATTAAAAAGAAGAAATTTAACCATACAACCTTGTATATTGGAATGTAAGAGAATGTTTATTGTCATTGCTGACTTAGTGTCTTGGGCAGGTGACAATTTTTGCTATAATTAGAAAGCTATGACTAAATTTCCTAAAGCCAGAAAAGTTTCAGTGTTCTACAGCTGTGCTATCTAACTACATGTGGCTTTTAAGCCCTTGAAAAGTGACTAATCCAGATTGAGAGATGCTATAAGTTAAAATACATACCATATCTTAAAGATTTAGTTTGAAATAAAGAATATAAAACATCTCATTTATAATTTTTAAAAAGGTTATATGTTGAAATGATACTTCTGATGCACTAGGTCAAATAAACTATATATTAAAATTAATTCCATTTATTTTTACTTTTTTAAATGTGACTACTAGAAAAATTAAAAATACTTGATGACTCACATTTGTGGATCATATTCCATTTCTGTTGGATAGTGCTGTTCTAAACCATAGTGATAATAATATTAAGATGACTGGATAGAACATTCTACTTCTTATATTAGAACTCATCTCTCCAAGAAATTTTCTAGTGTGGTGTGCCCAGCAACCCCTCAACAATCGTGCATGGTTCCCTTGGTTTAGTTAAATTATTTTATTCTTACTTTCTTATGGTATAAGCCTTGTTATATCTGCTATACGTGTATGGGTGCTGCAACTTTTATCTCCATGTCTGTTTCTCTTATTAGACTATGAGCTTCTTTGGGAGAAAGACCTATCAGCACATAGCATATTGCCAATAAAATATAAAGAATAAACTTTAAAAAAGAAAGAAATTGATAATTTTATTCATACCATGTCTAGGACGATTCTACATTAGTACGCACTAAATAATGTGGCCTGGCTTGAGTAACTGAGTTAGTTAGGACACTGTTAAACTAATCACAATTAAAGAGGGCCTCCTCATTCCATCTGGAAAGTCTTTTAGAGAATCTTTTTTTTTTTCAACGTTTTTATTTATTTTTGGGATAGAGAGAGACAGAGCATGAACGGGGGAGGGACAGAGAGAGAGGGAGACACAGAATCTGAAGCAGCCTCCAGGCTCCGAGCCATCAGCCCAGAGCCCGACGCGGGGCTCGAACTCACGGACCGCGAGATCGTGACCTGGCTGAAGTCGGACGCTTAACCGACTGCGCCACCCAGGCGCCCCTAGAGAATCTCTTTTAAATTAACCAGAGGCAAATACAGATAGTACTACTGGTACTTAAAATGACAGAAATACACTATTTCAAGACTTTTGTATTAATGTATTCAACGTATGTTTACTTAGTTTGTTAGGTGTCTGACATGGGGACACAAAGATTAATAAACATTATTACTGTATTTATGTAGTTCACAGCCCAGATGAGGAGACAGATATCAATGTATTCTGAACTACAACTGAAGAATGTGCAGATTATAAGGATGGAGAAAGTTATCAGTTCTTCCTGGCTTTATAGCAGAATTCAGGATTTAGCTGAAGCTTAAAAGATGAGGAAATGTTTCCCCACACAGGTCAGGGGGTAGCATTCTACGGCAATCTACAAAGAGAAGTAAATAAAAATGGCAGCATTGAGACATAAAGGAGCTAGTAATTCTATATTTTAGAGTTAGGGAATGTAAGTTGGAAGTGGTAATAGGGTCAGTTAATTCATATACTCAATCTATCCAATAATTTGAATATTATTTCTTGGGGAAATGCAGTGTATATCTTAGCAGCTCTAGCTCTAGAGTTAAATTTTCTGAGTTCAAATTTTCTGCTACAACCTAATCACGTGATCCTGGGTAAATTGTTCTTAAAACAACTTTAAGCCTCAGTCTGCTTACATGTACATTAAGAAAGGTAATGATAATAGTAATTACAATTTGTAATTACAATTACAATTTGTAGAGATGTGACAAGAGTTTAACAAAATGATCCACTTAAAATACTTACCATTGTCAATTCTTTCCAGTCAAAGATCATTCGGAACATACTTGTAGTTGAAAAAGCTGGGTTCGCTACTCATTACACAAAAATAGAAAAATATCAATTGGTAACGTGGGTGTCTCTGTAAGATGCATTAGAGAAGACCTATTATAAGATTTTGGCTTTGGGTGAGTGATTGGGGAAAATCCAAGAAAACAGGGGTTTGCTCTAGACTAGATGCTGTTGGAACATGGGGGCAATTCTATAATAGGGCATATCAGTAAATTGTATTCTTTGAGAAGGGCAACTAGAGCAAAGCTTAAGGCTATTATTGTTAAAGAAGCAGCAGCCATTCATATTAGCCAGCAGAGACGAGTGTTTGCTATTTTGGACAGTGATCTTGTTTTTGTCTGTACTTTAGATAAAGTTATGAAATGGTCTTGTTCTGTCTCACAGTCTCAGAATGACTTTGTCTGATGTTAGTCAGATAATTTATATACAAGAGGAGAATAAAATGGCCTAGCTATAAGTGTCAGACTAGTTCCTAGATGTCAGGGGCTGCTTTTTTTTTTTTTCTTGGCACTGTGCCTAATACATAATAAGTACTCAATAAATATTTGAAGTTACTTTCAAGATGTCAAGTGGAGCTGCAAGTAAATAGAGAGTTTAGGACTATGTTCTGAGAAACTCTATCATTTAACGTCCAGGTATGGGAGAAAAAGGTTGCAATGGAAAATAAAAACAACCAGGAAGATGGAAGGAAAAGTATGAGGGTATTATGTCATGGAAGCAAAAGGAAGAGGACTTTTTAAGAGAAAAAAAAAGTGGTGGAGAGCTAGCTGGTATTGCTAAGTCAAGGAAGATGAGTTCTGAACATGGAATTAGCAATAGGGAATTCTGTGGCAACATGGGTGAGAGAAATTTCAGTGGAGTAATGGAGAAAGTCAGGATTGGCAGAGTGAGAATGAGCAGGTGGCAGACCATTGCTTCCAGAAGGGAATTAAAATTAAGTGTGCAGAACAGTCATGGTAGGTCAAGGAGGATTTAGGTTCTGTTTTTTAATATAGAAACTATTTTTAATATTTAAGTGTTGATGATTCCAGTCAAGGAGAAGTTAAATCTACAGGAAAGAGAAAAATTGATAATGAAAGGTTCTAGAAAAAGCTGTAAGGAAGAAGGAAGAGAATCCAAAATAAATGTGAATAATCATAGGACCCATTGTGGGGTGTTTTGGTGCTATTGTCTTTGTTTTTGGCTTTCAAGGTATTAGCCATAATTGCCTAGATAAGGTTAAACTGATGAATGGTTCTAAACTGATACATAACATAATTATATTTGTATTTCAGAAAGCTAACAGCATAAAATGGAAGCTGCATTCAAGGATTTCAAAACTGGAGGCACAGATAACATTTAGGAGGCTAGTCCAATCATCCTGAAAGGAAAAAAAAGGCACAGACATGAATGCCAGCAATAAGAGCTAGAATAGAAAAGAGATGGAAAGTCAAGCTCTCAAGGATGGGGAACGGTGGGATATCAGTTATACCTCGTTTCATGAGGGTCACCAGGGTAAATGAGATGGGATATAGTGACTAACTCCTACACTTTGGACTCCAACAACTGGGGAGAAGGTAGTGCCACTCATTTTGTAAGAAATTCAGGAGGAAAAGAAGACTTGGACAGGAAGTCCAAGTCATGGGGAAGATTATGAACTTTAAAAAACTCATGTATAGTCACTCATCCATTAATCAAATCTCTTAAAAATCTATTTTATGTCAGGAAGCATATTAAACTCTGAGGAAACAGTCATGAGCAAGAGAGCTGTATTCCTGTCCTATTAGTGCTTACTTTAGGGTGTGTGTGTGTGTGTGTGTGTGTGTGTGTGTGTGTGTGTGTGTATGTGTGTGTGTTTTCTTTTTTGAGTTTGAGATACTTCTATGATTTCTAAGTAGATATGTTAAATAAACAATTGAATAAACTAATGTAGGGTACAGAAGAAAGGTCTGGGCTGAAACCTGTGTCTGTGTGTGTGAGTATAAAATACATATTTTTATGTACTTTTATATGCAAATATACATTTTTGTATATATCCACGTGGAATACTTGATTTACCTTTGAGTTTAGACAGAACTGGAGGTGAATTCTAGCTTTGCCCTTCCAGGTGTAAGAACACAAATCATCCAGCATTTACTGAGCACATGCTATGTACCAGCCCAGTGTAAGATACCGAAATACAAGGTTAATAGTCCATTGTGCTTGCGCTGGAGACACTTCTGGATTTGTGCAGCAGGTTGATTTTCATCCTTGCCAATGTGAGAAAAAAAGCATCTTTATCATGGAGTTGTTAGGAGTAAATGGGGCAAATACACAGAATGCTCTATGGCTGACATATTTCTCTGGATCATGCTATGAAGTCAGCTGAATAGTAGCATCATCTTTTAGGGTCACAATGTCACTGAAAGTACATTCTTCTAAAAATTAGTCACTACTTCTATTTCTGGAATTGTTAGTGTTCCCAATAAAGTGTTAGTTGTATTTATTAGCTTGCTTTAGGGAATCTTAACAATAGTTGTACTTTGATGAGCTGATTTTACAAGCCAGAGGCAACATTTTCCTAGTAGGATATAGTTATGTCAAAGAATCCATCTTGTGTAAATAATAAATGGCACATCCATCCTGGAGTTCATGTCCCACTGAGTCTTGATGAATTAGCTTTTTACCGAGTTTCTGTTTATCTGTCTTATGCAATGCCTTGTCTCTAAAATAAAAGAGACTTATGCAATGTCGCTAAAAGTACCAGGATGACTTAGGGAAGTTGTAATTAAGGAAGGAACGCACAAGGAAGGGAATCATAAAAAGGGGGTATCTGCCATACATTTTCACTAGAGTCTGACAATGAATCAAGGTGCTTAACCAAGTTTTGTACATCAATATTTTCCATCAACTGCTTATGAAGTGTCAGCCCTTTAAATTCACATTGAAAACCTGAAAATCCTTTGCTAGTCATAGAGCGTTAGGGACTACTGACCCAAGTCAACAGTTATACCTGGAAACCGCAAACCACCACAGAAGACCTAGAAAGTATTCACTTCCTACTTCTAGTAACAACTATCTTCATGCACCCATGGGTATGCTGCCTGTGAATCCTCTGTGCAATACTGCACAGAATACATTCAGTAATTCTTACCTAGGAGTATGTGCAAACCTTCTGGGAGAGCTGATTTCTACAAAAGGTGATTCTCACAAGAAAGCTTTTTTCCCTAACGTGAGCAATGTCTAATACACCTAACTACACCTCTTATAAATATATAGATAAAAGAGAGGAGGGTGAGGGTGGTGCTGTAACTCACCAGTACTAGTAATCTTAGCTTTCTTTAGAAAGAAGACATTCTCAAACTTCACTGTGCATTAACAAAGTGATTGACCCTAGGGAATATTCTAGAAGTATTTAGAGCTTTTTATGTTCACATGGAAAAATGGAGAAAATTACATTAAACTTCAATAAAGCATACAGGTATTTTAACCCTTTTCCATCAATCTTCCACCACATCTCTGGAAGTAGTATAATCTATTACCACATCAATGGTGCAATGAAACACACGTATCTTTAGCATCAGGTTTTATTTCTGGTTATGGATTTAAATCCTTTTAATAGCAAATCCCAAGGCTCTAGGACAAATTGCTGTCAGTGAGATTTGACTATACATTAGTCATTTGGGGCTCAGTAGATTTTCATATGGGTTATGCCAACTTTCCCTACTCCATGTGGTTTTCCAATATAGTAAATGAAAGGAAACCACCACAAACTTTAGAATTAGACACAATTCACATAAGTCCTCTGTATTAGTCAGGGTTCTCCAGAGAAACAGAACCAACAGGACATAGATACATATGTAGGAGGAGACTTATTTTAAGAATTGGCTCGTGTGATTATTGAGGCTGAACACTCCCATAGTCTGCCATTTGCAGGCTAGTAACTAGGAAAACCAGTGGTTTAATTCAGTCTGAGTCAAAAGGTCTGAGAACCAAGAGGGTGGATGGTGAAGGTGTAAGTTTCAGAGTCTGAAGGCCTGAGAACCAAAAGTTCCAAGGTCCAAGGTCAGCAAAAAGATGTCCCAACTCAACAAGAGAGAAAATTTGCCCTTTCTTTTGCTTTTTGTTTTATTCAGGCCCCAATGGATTGGATGATGCTAAACCACACTGGGGAGGGTGGACCTTCTTTATTCAGGCTATTTAATCAAATGCTAATCTTTTCCAGAAACACCCTCACGCCCACAAATAATGTTTTACCAGCTAGCAGGGCAACCCTTGGCCAAGTCAAGTTGGCATATAAGATTAATCCTCTATTTCTACAATCATGGTGATGCTGAAAAAATAACACACTTTTTGATCTTTGGTTTCCTCATCCATAAAACAGTAATAATGATACATCTGTAGAGTTAAAAAACACCTCTAGTCTTAAAAAGCATTCACATGCCTAATACACAGATGTTCAATATGTTGTAGCTATTATTTTTAATTATAAATGTGGATTCTTATCAACAAAGGCAAACTCTGAGATGCAATGATGGCAGAAAACAGCAGCATTTCAAGTACACACTGAAAAAGGAGACTTGAAATCAGCCCTTCCTATATGTCACGAACAAAGAAACAAAAGCTATTGAACAGTGCTATGTAATTTCTGTATGACAGAAAAAATGCCTACTAGTTCTACTGGTTTTAACCTTCTCCTCTCAATATGCTCTTTTCCTAAACTACCTGAAATATAGATTATAGGATGCAAAATATTTAGATGGCCCTAGGATTTCCACCCCTATGCTATACCCATGATTCAGTTTCCTTATATGACAAGGTTGAAGGAACCTTATTAGTGGTAGTAAAAGGCCCAGATTAGTTGACTAAATTAACCAAAATGGAGATTATCTGGGTGGGTCTAGCTTAATCAGGTGAAGCTTTAAAAAAAATTATTTATTTAAATTCAAGTTAGTTAACATACAGTGGAGTATCGGTTTCAAAGAGTCGAACCCAATGATTCATACCTTGCATATAACACCCAGTGTTCATCCCAACAAGTGTTCTCCTTGATGCCCATCAC